GAAAGCCCAGTGTTCTGAAGATGAGCACAGGCTTCATAGCTACCGCCATGAGAACCTGAGATCACATCTGATAGCTAGGCATAGATGGGGAGATAATATTAAAATGTATCATCCAGAGGTGGTGTTGGAAGTCATTTTCAACTGTTGAGGCAACATGCATCAGCATGCAGGAGTGATGAACAGCTGAAGCTGCCTGGAAGTTCCCTGGTACACACTGCTTGTGCGCCGTTTGACCACAAACTGAGTAAGTTTTCTGCCCCCTCCCCAACTGAGGTATGTGTAGTTGTGCTTCTGTTTCTTCTGCTCTGCGCACACTTGAAATCGTGTTGTGTCTGCTCAGTGTGCACATAACTAGCCCTAGTAATAACATAAATGGTGTTTAATATATATAGTTTAATTTGGAATACATAATAATGCATTGTAAAAATGAAATGGAAAATAGAGAAATTGCTTATTACTGTTTACAGAAGAGCATTCGGGTATGGCTGATGGGTTGATCTTTCAGAGCTCTAACTGTAAGACATGGTGCACAGTGAACGTGAGTAGTTATGAAAGGGTAAAATTGTCCCAGTACTTAATTAAGCATCACACCATGAAGATGTATGGAGGAGTGGAGGTATAGCTCCAAGCATTCTTGACCTAAACACTAGATGGTGAGTGGTTGGCTTCATGCCCAGAGGAAGAGGGTCCTGCTACCCACTGAATGGGAGTCTGTATGGACACTGGGAAGGAGAAAAATGTGTGCTAGGAATTGAACCCCAATTCTTCCATCATTCAGCCCATAGCCTAGTTGCTAACTGGGCCTCTTAACAAGCACTAACACTTCCAGATGTTGCTCGTAGGTCATGGAATATAAATGCCATGTAACAAGAAAGCACCTAAACATTGTCCCTATCATTTGAATCTGACACTTGTATCCTGTGGTGTTTGTGTATGTTCCCGTGCGCCAAGAAGTGAGTTAAACTGTCTGGCTGGGACGTGGTAGCTAAATTTAGAGTGAATCTGAGTGACTTGGCCTCCAAGAGAGTAAAGTTTATAGAGAGACAGCTGAAGATGATAATTCCTTGCTCTGCTTCTTTGCATCTTTGTGAACAGAAAGCGATTATGCATCAGTTACCCACATTTTAGAATGTAGTATATTAAACAGAAAAAGGCAAGTTATACCAAACAAATGATAAAGTCATAAACTTGATAAGTGTATAATGAATAGGCACATAATTCCCTACATAAAGACATCAGAATAAATTTCTTGCTGTATCAAATGTAAGTTTTTTCATTTGACTTAATCCTTCCAGCTGCACTATGGCCCTGGGGGTAAAGAGCAGCTGGCATGTAAGGCTGACAACCTCACCGCCATCTGTGAACCGATCATTTAGAAAATAAGGAACCCTTGACATCTCACAACCCTATGGGCCTCCACGACCTGTTAACAGAGGTAGTTTTACCTTTTTTCTTTAACCTTACCAAATGTGATAGTTCAAATTTCTCAGTGGGCATTGCTGTGAACAGAAAACTATATAACCATGTTGTTACAGGTCTACTGAGAATACATGACTCATTGACAGGATATGTTGTGTTTCATTGCTATTTAGGTTATACATTTTTGTAATTTCTCTAAAAATTGTGATCCTTAAGAGGTTGGATTAATTATATACTTCAGTGCATGGTCTACCAGCATTTTGAAGGAAACTGCTGCCTGTTTTTATATGTCCTGAAGATGGAGACAGCTGGTTCCACCAAAATGTTGGCACCAACTGCATGATGTCACATTCCAAGAAAGCCATTCATAATGACTTGAAGACATAAGTGGAGTGGCTGAGGTGCATTCTGCCACTCCAGTTCTGTATGCAAACATTTAACAAATGAAAAATATAATACAATTTAATGAGGGGAATGTCCACCTGGGGGTTGCATGAAGCTGTCAAGGCAGCGAGTACACAGAACTACTGACTGAGTCTCCCTAGCCAGGCAGTTCACAGATGAGGAATTCCTGAGAAGCAACACATCACTGTGTTGTGAAAGTAGCAGTTCCTCTGCCAGAGAAGGGGCACAAGCATGGGTGCCATGGGATTTTATCTGGAGAGGAGCCAGAAAATTTGCTTACAAAGTTACATTAGGACTGTTTATTGATCGGCCTAGAATATTCAGGATAAAAGTTGTTTTAATGCTTCAGATGTTTTGTTAATTGTATATTTCCCTCTTTTCCTTAATTTGTATTTCTCCCCCCTCCAAAGCTCCAGGTGGAGGAGCAGATGACTGCGTTTCCCCTCAGCTGGCACCCATGGTGATGAGTAATTTATGAAACATGTAGCTCTTCTTCAGAATACTAGATGATACTGAGCCCAGAAACCTAGTAATTCTAAGTGTAATAGACTGTCATTGAAACCGTTTCATGTAATTCAGAGCTTCTGAAGTCTCACTGTGATTAGTACAGTATAACAACGGCTGAAGTGAACCATGGACCTTGAGTTGTCAGAACTGCATGTTCCTGGTCTGAATAAAAGTCCTTGCAGGATGTCATCTTAAAAATTGGGATTTGCCTTTTGCATGAATGTGGCATTTTCTTGGGTCACATTGTTTCAAATATGGCTGTATCTGGCATGAAATTTTTGCATTTCAGAAATGTCTTGATGGAGGGTTCCAAAATTTGTTTTAGTGGAAGTGTACTTGTGTCGATATGATGACAGCCGTATCCTGTTGCAAGTGCTAGTCATTATCAGAGCTGCATCATTGACCTCACAAACATCTGTGCATTCTGTGTGTCAACCAACAGTTGTGTCCTGTCCCTGACTTCTGCAGTACAAATTTTTAACATAATTTTAATGTTTCAGTACTTGTATTTTGTGGCTGTTGAGAAGCCATGAACTGTCAACTGGTATCAGGTTTCATATAGTTCTCACAGTGGGGTGTTTGTGAGATCAGAGATGCAATTATTATTATTAGAGGGGGTGGGTTTCCCCATGCACTTAGACCAGTTATTGGTCCATTGTGCGTCCCCCTTTAATTTCTACTGTCGCCATACCCTACTGGTACCGGTGCGTGCTATCAGCCCCGTTCAGCCAATGAGGTCAGCCGTCGGTACCTCGATACTTCCCCTATCTACCAGAGGCATTGGAAACTACTTGGGCGGGAAACTTGCCTAATAATTTTGCTCAGAGGTCTCCTGAGATGCAATTATCTCATCAATGTCATTTTGGGTACATTGGAGATTGTTTTCTGGGATATGGCACCATGTAGTCTGGTACACAGGTAGCAAGGTTTTGAGGAAACCTTCTACATTCACTTCAGGTTCCTCCAAGACTACATGGCACCACATCGCAGATGAAAGTAGTCCTCATTGTCACAGCCAAGACAGAATTAGATCTCAGGCTGCATTAGTCCTTGAGACTTATTTACTTGTGCATCATTTGTTCAAGCACCCAACTTTGTGCTTAAGGTGCCCTAACTGCAAAGCATCATGTAGTAGCATTTCTCAAGCCATTATGTGCATTTTCTATGGATACTGTTCTGTTCTGTTATTGGAGAGGGTGGGTTTCCCCATGCACTTAGACCAGATATTGGTCCACTGTGCATCCCCCTGTAATATTCTACCAGTCTCTATACCCTACCGGTACTGGCATGTGCCATCAGTCCCGACTCAGCCAGCGAGTTTGGCCTCTACTGGCTCAGCGGTATCTCGATGCTTCCCCCATCTACCAGAGGCGTTAGAGACTACTGTTGGGTGGGAAATGTCCTGAATTTGGCTCAGAGGTCCCTTTGAGACACGAGGTTCTTTTACGTGCCGTAAAGCTACAACACGGGACCCACGGCTTAAAGTCCCTCCCAGAGGACTTGTTCCCTGAATTTTCCCACCCTTAAAAATTCCACGACCTCCGCTGGGTTTGAACCCACATACCTTGAGTCACGAGGTGGGAACGTTACCCCTAGACTACGGAGGCCGCTATTTCCTATGGACACTGTTATTTGAAATAAAAAAAGCAGGAGGGGAGGGTGTGGATCAGACTCATCTGGCACAGGATAGGGTCTAGTGGTAGGTTGACTGGCTGAGCAACTACTGGCTTCTCAAGAAGGGCACTTTTACATCAATTTCTTTATTTGTAAATTAATTATTGGAGGTAAACTGCTTTTCCAGGTTTCCTGAACCCTACAAGTTCTCAAGTTTTCCAGGCTTGGAATTTCCAGGAACATAGCTCCTGGATTCAGCAAGGCTTGACCATATACAGGGTGTCCCAGGAGGAATGTGCCAAACTTCGGGAGGGTGTTCCTTATGTTAAAGTATGCCGATATAACCCAAAACACCTATGTCCAAAGTTGAACGGTTACGGAGATAATGGCCCGAGAAGTGTCAAACTTTGACCGGGGTTACACACTTGTTGATTACAAAATACATATTAAAACTGGCAGGAATATGTGATTTTTGTAATGTTAATAATGTACGTAACATCAAACCAACTTGTGAGTGACATGAAGCCATAAAATTGAAGTACAAAAAACTCGCATGCCATCTCAAAGTTGTCGTTAAGAGTTCCAAGCACTGTACATGACACATGAATGGTAAGCGATGACGTAACGTGCTGACTGCGCGTTCTGATAAAGCCAACTCCATAAGCACGGATAGGATGAATCACGGCAGTCAAGGACAAACAGAGATAATTCCTCTCAGCTGATAGGTATAATCCGTGGACCCGCTAGAAGACCACACTTTTCTCGGGCCATTATCTCCGTAACCGTTCAACTTTGGACATAGGTGTTTTGGGTTATATCGGCATACTTTAACATAAGGAACACCCTCCCGAAGTTTGGCACATTCCTCCTGGGACATCCTGTATAGAGCTTAAAATCTGAGATACTTGGCCCTTCTAGCCATGTGTTAGGTTCCATTAATGGAATTCTCTGGGCACAGTACTGCTTGTTGAAGTTAAGGGCATTAAGGTTCTGAACATGAAGAGGGAAAGTATTTCCATTAAAATCCATAAAGTCAATGAAACAAGTCCAATTAATTTAATATTTTATTCATATTCAACACTGAATTTATATTGCTAATATTTTCTGTAAAAAGACTGCATATTTAACAAAGGATTCTAGATTATATGTAGTAACGAACAAAATGGTGAATGCATTGTAACATACATAATATACAGAAGATACAATGACATTAGCATGACTCCATACACTTGTTCATTTCTGAATGTTGCCAGATAAAACTGCTATAATGGAGATGGTGGGCTATCCAGTTGTGTGCTCAAAGAAATCATGACTACATGGACATTAAAATAAAACATTGCATAAACATGTTTAATATCACTCACAATGAGACAGTTATAAAATGGAATAGTTTAGTGGTATGAAACACATTCTGTGCTCTCAAAATTTAACTTGAAAATGTAAATCTTGATTGACCATGTTTTTGTTTGATATCCATACTGGTATGGGCACATAGAAATGCAGTCCAATGTGTTTATATGATACAGCTAATTTTATTCTTCAGAAAGCTAGGCTGCACAAAATATTGCATTTCTCTATATACCACAAAGAGCATCATCACAAAAATAGTGCAGGGATTCAAGCACATGCAGCCAGTCTGAGGGAGAACTGTTAACTGCCATATCTGAGAGAGAGCTACTCACTACCATGTGATTTGTCCTTGAATTTTGTTGAGGCACTAAGATTTGTTAAGACATGCAGTGCCATGTATCAACAAAGCAATATCAGCAGTGACTGTATTTCAAGCAGACAACTTCAATTTTGTAAAACTACTGCTAGTACTTTTACATGTAAATTCAGTTCCACAATAAATTAAAGATCTATATACCCTCTGTCCCCTTCAGTGTGTAACAGTTCCACGTGACAGGTGTTATAATCAACCTAAAGAGTCACCAACATATAACAATAACAATGCAAAATGAAATTCAAAACCTGTAATTTGAATTCAGCTAACTTCTGATAACTGTCTTCACTTTCCAAAAAGTTTTTTTTTTTTTTCAATTCTTTGACTGTTTTGTGATGTAAGTTAGTTTTACTATTTAAAAGAAACAGCTGTTGCATTATTTATTAACCCATTCACCCCCGTTTTTTTATAACATGGACATACCCTCAAGACAAGATCTGTCAGTATCGGACGCTTCACCTCACTCTTCAGTTTTGCCTGAAGAGGGGTTACATCCATTGAACAGGTGTGAAAGTGCAAATATTCAGCATTGGGGTGAAGACAAAACAGAACAAGTTGTCAATCAGTGGATTCAGGTTGGCCCAGCAGACAAATGAGATAGATGTGACTATATTTGGCGTTGGTCCTAAAAGGAACAGTTGGAACAGAAGCAAGATTTTAGTACTAGGTGCAGATGGAAACTTAGGCCTTTGTTTGTTCCGGTGCCGGCAGAGGGTGACTCCTCATGTGCTGCGTTGGTGGCGATGTGGTGATGGAAAGCAAAGTGCTGCTTTATTGCTGGGCAATAGGAATCAGCTTTTCTCCTTCAATTGCTGGCAATGGAGCCTCCACTGTGAGTACTCCATCCTTGCTGAGAGAGGATTTTATGCTCTCAGGGTTTGTTCCTTTGGGCAGCATGAATTCTCGGTTGTACTCCCGGTACACTGACTTACTTTCTGACTTCTCCTCATGTTTGGCATGGACCTAAAACAAAATGTTTCTACTTGATTGGTTCAGGTTCAAAATTATAATATAATATACATGAAGTACATTTGTAGAGCTCTTTAAACAGTAAGAATGTTCCAGATTTAATATTATATTAATTAATATTGATATTAAAAAATACTTGGTCAATTTTCTGGATGGATTCAGTGGTACTTCATAATAAGTGGTTCCGAGACATGGCTAATGATGACATTAACTTTTGGTTCAACCATTTTCAGCGCAATACTAGGAGATGGGCGAGAATATAAAACATGGCACATAAATAACTGTACCATGCTGCCAGGAGTGCCTAGCAAAGGGAAAAACATATATATCTTGACCCTGAAAGGTTAATGTAATACTTAGCCAATCTTAAGTTTTCTTTTGCACAGTTCATGGGGCCCTACATACACGATGGGTGCACTAGCCCAACACTGTCCATCATGTTGCCTCAATGTATTCTTGTTTGCTCCAGCCTTCTGTTTTCGTTTTTCTGCAGATTTCAAACAACAAACAGTAGCCTCGTATATATATAAAAAAATATGTAAGCATGAGATTTATCCTTTGTCATTATGCAATTTCAAGTTGGCAGCAAGGAACTGTTGAGCCTCAACATGCTGCACGAACAGGAGTTATGCAGTTGGTCACGAAGGAGCAGACAGTCTTGTGTTTTTGAGTAGATCACGTCTGCTGTGTGGATAAGCGAAGTGTGGTGTGCTTGCCTGAAAGATGAACTGGGCCAGCATTTGTTGAATCCTGTATATGGGAGTTATTCAGTCTAAGTCTCACCTCTTGAATGCTCTGACTGAGCACTTTCATCAGTTTACTCAGTCCCTTGCAGTGAATGCCACAATATGTAGCACAGCAATGCCCCTGGTTAACCCATGGCCACTTCCTTTGAAGCTCCTCCAACTCAGAAGACAGGATTCTAAACTTGTGATGCACAAACCATTATGAAATCCACTGTTTACAGTGGTATCTTTCTGATCTTCACTGGGTGACACGGCCAAGACTTGAAGGCGTTTTAAATTTAGCACAGTGTCAGCGCAGACCTCGCACCGTTCCTCTGCGCACACTTAGTTACATGAAAATGAATACCTTCAGTGGTACAAGATTCCTAGTTCCCATAGCAGTGAGCATTTAGATCTGGGATGTGATGTTATGCAGTTTGATACTTGGGTATAGACGTTTTGGAGGAACCTTCTGCCTCCATCTTTAGGGTAGAAAAGTGGAAACCTGAAGCTGGAGGCAAGATTCTCTTAAACTTACGCTGCTGAGCTTCTGATTCGGGTATTGGTGTTTATATAACAGGAATAGGTCTTAATGAGTGGCTAACAGTGACAAAATTTCCCACCTTTTATAGGAAATAATGGTCCATTACTGTGTTCACAACAGCTCACTGCTGGACCTTATCTAGAGCCAGTTAAGTCCACTCCAGAACGTGTCACTGTAAAAATGTCTGTAAAAATCCTCGAAAAACCTGTTGCGTATAGTAGCAGTAGCTTTCGAGGACTCTTGTCACTTGCGCAATGTTTCTGGGGGCCGAGGTTCAGCCAAAGGGTGGAACCAATGAACCGTTTCTAATAACCTTCAAGTTACCTTGTTGCAATGTCTCCCCCCCCCCACATTTTCGTAAGATTTTGTCTTCCAGATGGGAGATGTGCTGACGGAATAAATAAAGAATACCGTTTTCTGCAATGTGACGTCATGTAGTCCGGTAATTCACCGACGTTTCTGTACGTACTGCCTCCATTTTCAGGGTAGAATATATGCCATGCAAGTAACGAGTGGGCCCTCACAGCTTGCTGATTACTTCTTGTGCGTTTAGCGTATCTTCCACCCTGAAAACGGCGGCAGTACATTCCTCCGAAACGTCGGCGAACTTTCGCCGGATTACACGGTATCGTATCCCAGATGACAGTACTCTTCATAGTCAGCGCTATGGGTACTTCAACACCCCTCCCCCCTTTCAACCTGGCTATGGACCTAAAATCCAGCGGATTCCTAGCCCTACGCATTTCGACCCTCCTAATGAAGGAAGCATACCCTTCCGAAGCCCTGGCATTCACCCATAATACGGAACGATGTCGCAACCCCAAGGAGATGAAAATTTACAGCTAAATTTGGGCTATCGGAAGGCAGGAGGAGGCCCGGTCGCCGCCGACTCAGGCTCCTACATGCAACCCACGTCTTGCCCACCCCTGAATTCCTGCGCATGGCCCTAAACAATAGCCACTCCTGGTCTAACAAGTGGCAGCTCCCCAGCACACGTAGAGACTGGTAACGCTGCACTTAACTGCTCTATCTTATTCATTCCGTATGTATTTAGCGGCGTATTGTCGCGCCGGGAGTGCAACATTCCACACGGGCGGCTGGCACCTCCTGCAAGAAGTGGATGGCCGGCCAGCCTTACTGTTCGGAATCTTTAGCTGTGTAACTACACTCAGATATAGGGTATAATACTGCCAGGAGTGTCGCTATAGTGACCAGGCTACGGCGGCTGGATGCCCCCAGAATCGGGAGTTCCATTTCGGGTGGGGGGGGGGGACCTAACCTCTATCCAGTGCTTAGCTAAGCGGCCGGGGAGTGGACCTCTCCACTCTCCTCCCACAGGCCTATAGCGTCGGGTGATCCGGTTATGAATGATGAATTGGAAAGGATTTGAAAAGAAGCGGCCCTGGCATAATCGAAGTATTATTCCAGCACGAGCCTGGAGGGCCTGAGGGAAACCATGAAACTGGACCCGAGCGCGGTGTGGATACGAGTGATAATGTTACCGGTACCTGCTGTATCAGTGTCACTCCGTCGGCCACAAATCCCATACGGACTGTCCTGGGACTGAACCCGGGTCTCGGTGAGAAACCGGCGTCTAACCTCCTAAGCACGCCCGCAGTGCGGCCCTGGAGGCTGAAGAAAACTGCGTAATGTGGAGCTTAGTAATTTGTATTGTAGACCGAATATCGTTACATTGATGGAATGCACGAGGATAAGATGGGCGGGGAGTGCAACACGCACTGGGATATGAGAAACGCATACAAAATATTGGTTTCTGTAACCGAAGAGAAAACGTTGCTTTGCAGATTCAGACATAGATAAGAATATAATATTAAATTAGATCTGACAGCAATCTGCTGAGAGCTCACGGACTGAATTCAGTCAGCATGGGGCTTTTGTGAACACTGCACTGAACCTTTTTCACTGAAGCAGCGTGCTCTGTCATCTAGAAACTTTGTTCTAATTTTAACCTGGCAGCTGCCAAGTATCCCGCTGAATGGTCTGCCCGGCCCAACACTTTCAACGCGGATCAACAGAAAATTCCTTCGAACAGACTTTATGCGATAACGAACAATTTTGGCAAGATAAACCCGTGGCGTGGGGCAATGAACTCATGTCGTCACAGCGAAACCGGATCGACTGGAAGGGGGTACCGCCCTCGTAACGATTGTGAGCCCTGATTATCTATAGCGAGCATGACAAGTCTCTCCCGTGCTTATCTGCATGGACTGCTGTGAGCTATGAACAGTACAAACATCAGGTACAAAACTGTGAAGTTGCTTAATTATGCACCCCACTGTGAAGATATGTAGGGGGACAGGAAGTACTGCTCCACCATTCTTAACCTAGGAACTAGATGAATGTGAGTGGTCAGCTTCAAGTCCCGGTTGCTTTGCTCCCGGGAAGGAGCCTTCAGTGACCGGTAGGCTCCACAGTCTTATCTAGAAGTGACAGTGCCAGGAACTGAATCCCGGAATTTTGTCACTATACTGACAGAGCTACCCTGGCTGCTTTGCAGCGAATGAGGGGCCCGCACGCAGACTATGAATAGCAACACATCTGAGGGTGCGGAACGGCTCTGCCATTTTCTGTCCTCAGATACATGTCCCCCCAGTAACGCGACATAGTATATTTTAATCTTTACATTTCTAAGATAGGGGCACGCGGTAGCGTAGTTGGTTGAGGCACTATACTACAAGCCGGAAGATCGCGGGTTCGAACCCCGTTGAGGTCACTGCATTTTTTAATTGACCTAAACCTTCCAGCCGCCGGGCACGGTAGCCGAGCGGTCTAAGGCATGTACTGTCTTCGCTCGCTTGGAAACCGGGATCGTGGGTTCCAATCCCACTCAGGGCATGGATGTTTAGTTTTTGTGTGTGCGTTTTTCTGTGTTTGTGTACAGGTAGAGGCCTTGCGACGAGGTGATCACTCGCCCAAGGAGTCCTACCGAATGTGTAAGATCTAGAAAAACCGAAGTGAACGGAGAAGTTCATGGAGGTATGCCTAGGCCCACTGGGGCTGTAGTGCCAAGGAAAAGAAACCTTCCAGCCGCACTGTGGCCCTGGGGTCGAATCAGCGTATAGCAGAAATGAGTATCAGGAATCTTCCTGGGTGGTAAAGGGCGGCCGGCGCGTAAGGCTGACAAACTCACAGCCATCTGTGACCCGATTGTCTAGAAAATGTGGGAACCTCGACGTCCCACACCCTATGGGCCCTCACGGCCTCTTACAGGGATACATTTACCTTTTACATTTGTGAGATAGCAGACGGAAGACATGTTCTCAGCCGAACGGCAGCAAGCATTTCCCGAATCTAACCTGGTCTTAGCTTATTCGTGAATGCAATTCCTATTTCTTAGCGCAGTTCCCAAATGTTTGAACTTTTCCACATTTTCAAAGAACCTATTCGTCAGCTGTCGTGTGGTGACAACAACAGAAAACCGTTTCTAATTTGAAATTCGTGGATATCGCGTTCCGGTTACAGCGTCCCCTCCACGAGGCACCAGCAACCGGCAGCTCTCGCCACTTCCTTATATGGCAGTGATACTTCGGACGTGGGATGTTCCCGCACGTTGCTCCTTACAGCGGCACCGACGTTTCGGACTCATACTGCTATCAAGATTACGGATTAGTGAGATGTGACGCCGTATAGTTTGGAAATGTGTACCAACGTTTCGGAGTACACACACACATTGCGTATGCTTTTTGTATCTCATGCGTGCTACT